GCAAAACGATGCGTGCGGTCCATTCACAGTCCTCGAGTGAGTTGACTCGCAAATGTGCGTTCGCAAACCAGGCAAATTTGGGCCAACTACGGAGGCTACCGGATAAATTTTATCCGTACGGTCCGACGCCTGCATTTTTGAAAATTGAGGCAACTCGAGTTGAAGTGGACGTTCGGAGACCAGCGCCTTACATGATGGTAGGCACCCAATGCGCCACGTCGCATTGTCGGGGACGAGAGACACTTAACTTGGAGTCGTATGTGATAGTGAAAGCAAGTTAAAGCTGGATATAACATGCACTCTTGAGCGACCATCATTAATTAATCCCCTGCAGGGCTGGTCCCCACTAGGTAACGTTCCTACCAGTATTATACGCTGCTGCAAGGTGCTTCCAAGGCTATCGGTGGCAGCTACTATGGCAGCTGCATCGTACTTGTCGTACCCGATGGCGCGGAGAATGACCAACGTGCTTGCTCATCGTAGCATCATCTGGAACACGCGTCGGAGGAAGAGGGAGTACGGTTGCGTCGCGAGGCTCCGCTACTCTATCTTCCGCCACTTCGCGCTACTCGGGTGACATGCTTTTGGAGTGCGCAGCACGGTCGTCGGCAAGGTGGACTAAGATCTCCGTGCAAGACAAGGCAGGGAATAAAAGCAAAAGCAAAAATCGTGTATTGGAGGGTGTGTCTAGTCTACAGTGGTGGGCTCCAAATGCGTCGAGAGGCAGGGCGTTAAATCATCTTCAAATAATAGTGGGTCCGCAAAGACAGCGGCAAATACATACAAAGCAGTGGCGGCGAGCGCTGTGGCAACGTCAGACCTCGTGCTCCTTGGCGTGGGACATGCACCAGCCTTTGCGCTGGGCCCACTTGAGGCACTTGGGTGCCTTGCAGCGCTCGCCACCACTGTTGCGGGTTCTGCCCGTGATCCGAGAAAGCACGTGCTTGCAGCTCTGCGTGCAGACGAAGCGAGTCTCAACAACCACCGTGCATGCGGCACAGTTGCTTGAGATGCGCCTTCTTCTTGCAGCCGTCGACGGCGCAAAACTTGCCACCGCCGTGCGACTTGCACAGCCCCCGCGACTGCGACGCGCGGTGGCAACCGTCAAAGCGGCAGCGCGAGCCACCGCCGTGGGCGATGCAGAGGCCGCGGCTTTGACTGTTCTTGAGGCAGTCCGCATGGGTGCATTGGCGGGCGCCGCCGTGCTTCTTGCACTTTTGGTGGGATCGGTCGCGGTTGTTGCATCCGGCATGAGTGCATGTCTTGCGTGCGCTCGAGTTGGGCAACTTTTTTGAATATTGGTGCGAAGATAGTAACTTTTGTCAATATTTGCTCTAATGTAGTAACTTTTTTCCTCAATCAAGACCGAACTACTTGGGGGCAACAACCGTGTTGGTGTCCGCCGTGCCAGTGGTGGGCGAGGCGGGTTAGCTACTTGACTACCAATTTGGAAATGGCTTAAGCTCGCTTGCTCTGCGCCTGGATCTGGGATCTTGGATCTTGCGTTTTCGTTTTGGATCTTGGTATTCTGGATCGCTCGGACTTGTGCGGAAAACCTCTTCCACTTCTTGGAAACGGCCCGAAAAAACTCGTTCAAGGAGTACAGCGTCGCTCGTGCACGTTGCAACCACCATGACTAGACAATTAAACAACGAACCGACTAAACGACTAAACGACTAAACGACTAAACATCACGGATTGATCGATTTGATGCCAACGAAGCATTGATATCAATACTAGTAGCTCACGTCAGTGTGCACTTGGTGGTAATGGCCACACGTCTCATAACCATGCTTGGACCACAACGCTCCCTCACAGCATTAATCAGTACACGGAGGAAGCATCGACTAGCATAAAACGACTTGAGGTTCCATCGTAACGGAAAGAACACGTCGTAGAATGGAGAAAATGAATTCAAGCTTGTATGTATGTATGTATGTATGAAGATTGCAATAAAAAACGATCGGTTTCACAGCGGCCCCTCGCTGCTCTAGCCGTTTGTATGGATTTGACATCCACACTTCAAATCCAAAGAAGCTGCGAAGACCACATAGCTCGTTGCCGTACGACGCCAACGACCTCGCGATCGAGGCCTTACGGTACGTGGCCTTTTATGTATGTTTATGCTCATAGACAATGCATTAGAATGGGCCACGCCGGGCAGGCGCTCTTGGAGCAAGGCCGCGCCCTCCCGAGCAACCTCTCATTCATGGCGTTCAACTGGGAAGCCGAGTACTTTTGGATGAAGTCGTCAACGAATGGGATCATCTTGACCATGGCGCTCTCGTGCTTCCTCGCAATTGCGGCCATTGGGTGGTCCATGTCGGGGTCGCTCCGCTTTGCGATCTTTCTCGTGCTCGTGATCATTCCGTCATCGCATGCGCTCTTTGCCGTCTACTTGGCCAATTCGATCGAGGCCGCCGACTACTGCATCGCGCCAGCACACAACACGCTCCGGCCCTTCCGCAACGACTCTGGTGTTGCGTACTTGTGCCGAGTCAGCCACGGAAGCAATGGCGCTCGCAATTGTCGGGCTAACGCCGATGTCGACTGCCGTCTGGATAACCGACGACAGACTCGCACCGCACCGGTGTCGGCGGCAACCGCGATGATGGTCGCCTGCTCTGGCGTGGCACCGGCGGCGATCACGGCCTGGATGACGTCTTCGATCGGGGCGGGCGTAGCATCGCTGACCGAGCCAGCCGACGACGACGTCGTCGACGCAACTGCGGACGCGATGGCCGACGCCACCGACGACTTGACACCGGCGTCCGCCGCGACTTGTTGAATCTCTTGGTAGTGCCGCCGGAACGCCGGCCCCGATCGCCGAGGTCGTCCAAGCTGCTCTTGACAGTGACCAGCTTGGGCCAAGCGGCGTTGATCGCGCAATCAGTTGCGTCGGGTGCGTCGGTCGAAGAAATCAACAAGTCGCGGCGGACGCAGGAGTCAAGTCGTCGGTGGCGTCGGCCATCGCGTCGGCAGTTGCGTCGACGACATCGTCGACGGCTGGCTCGGTCAGCAATGCTACGCCTGCCCCGATCGAGGATGTTATCCAAGCCGTGATCGCCGCCGGTGCCACGCCAGAGCAGGCGACCATCATCGCGATTGCCGCCGACACCGGTGCGTGTCTGTCATCGCTCAACGTCAGCCAGACATCGAGGTAGCCCGACAATTGCGAGCGCCATAGTATTTTCTATAATGAATAGTCTTTTCTTTATGTTGTCTACAAGGCGCGTGCGCTATGATCGTCACAATGCACAACGCAGAAGTACCAACGGAAGAGCATGGTCGCAAGATCGTTTTAGCTGTAGCATCTAGTGGTGGGCGGGATAAATCTAAGTTCTAGACAAACGAGAACGTCGTATGAGCTGGCGTTGTCGCCGGTGCGCGGTTGCTGCCTAGTCCGACACACTCTGACAGGTCGATCCGAATGACGTGCAAGCCACAGCCAAGGCACCAAGATCGACGTCTCGAGGGTGCCGCCAGTGAGGGTTTCAATGTGTCGGTAGAGAGTAGGAATATAGTTTTTTGGTGGAGCAAGCAAAGGCCAGCCAAACCTCGACGCAGTTTCGATTTGGCTTCGGCGTGCTACGTCTCCATCTTGGAGGGATTCCATCCCTCGGCTCCCGCAACAACGCCTCAAAACCACAGAGCACCTGTGCGCAACCTCTTCCGGGCGTGGTTGAGGGGTTTAGGGGTCGTCACCCGCTACGACATCGACGTTGCGACTTCATGACAGCAGTAGCGACCTGACGCCCCACCTGCGGCGACGGCAACGACGACCCTGTCGTTTTCCTCTATGACACCAGCGATCCACTCCAACGACGGCACCAGCGTCCCGGTTGTCTCTCCCTCTCGGCGACCTGACGTCCCTGCGTTGATATTGATCCTCCGGTGCGGTTACGGCTACGACAACCCGACGACTCTTGCTTCGACACCGGCGCACCAACAGCGCTGGAAACTAGTGCGATACATCAACCAGTTGCTCGGCGGCCTCGCAGAACACGCTCGGCACCTCGCTTGAAGACGCCGGGAGAGCTTAGGAATACTCTCTGGCGAATTTTCTCTCCTTGGTCCTGCACCTGCACCCGTGCCGCCGCGGGCCCCAGATGCCTGCCAAGCGCCAGCGCACCGACGTTCAGCCAACATTGTGCCCGTCGGAGTAGCGCTTTTGCAGCATCATCTGCCCCAGCAGCATCGAGCACACGTGCCCCTCATAGAGATTGCGCTCGATGCGCAGTTGGTGCGAACCGAAGATCCTACGTGTGCATGCGCGCCGCCGCATCAAACGAACACTGGTCCGGCGACCGTGCACCCGAATCGAGCAGCGCTTTCGTAGCACTCGCGCAACTTAAGAGTGCTCATTATCTTTTCTAGAATCACCCACGAGAAACGACTAGTCGCAGCCCCGCCACCCGCCCCGACAACAACACTCGTCACGTCCAAGCACCGCAAACACCGCTCCATCTGGGGGCTGCGCTGTTGAGCCACTCTCGACATCTACATCAAACGGCGACCGTGGCCAAGTCGCGCAAGATAGACAATCTGCAGTTGTGGCAAGTTCGGCCGACCAACGGCTTCTCAACCCCACGCGTCACGATGACAGCCAAGACTCAAGGCAGATCACACGCTCGCATTCCCAACAACCGTCGCCACCCGGGCACGGCTTCACACACTGGCGCGGCTTTCAAGCGAGCGGCACGACCAAGATCGCTCCGAGACGGCATTCCGCCAACGGACGCCGACCTAGCGACGCTCGGCATCAGCACTGACCTCGACGACAAGCACCGCCACGGTTGCACACAGCAGCCACCACCAATGTACGTTGGCGCAACTCTGAAGAACCGCAGTGGCACCGAGCAAGATGTGCTACATTCTCAACTTCCGACCGTCAGTCTTGAGCGACACCAAGACGAACGCAATCTCCAAGACGAGGCGTCAAAGCACAAGCACAACCCTCGGTCCACCGTCGCCAAGCAGTCGCCAACGACGCCGATTACCTATCGCTGGCCTCGCCAACCCATCATTTGCTGGCAACAAGCCCAACTCCTGAAATATACTCTGGCAATCTTCGAGTGATCGTTGGCCGCACGCAGCCCAAGTTGAGCCCGTTGGTGCAGCAATGCCCATCAACCCGTGAACGGGTGCTAAGGGAAATGTCCGGATACACTTCTGGATGGCGGGCGGCGCATCCGGATTCCCAACTGCTTGATACATGTCAGTCGAATTTGCAGCATGGCGAAGAAGGGTGGGTACTACGCGGTGGCTGTCGGCCGCACCGCCGGCATCTACCGGACGTGGGACGATGGCGCCAAGGAGCAGGTCCACGGTTTCCCAAATGCTCGCTACAAGAAGTTTACCACCGAGGCCGACGCCATCGCATTTGTTCAGCACCATGGCAAGCGGCCGCGATCGCCCGACGTTGAGGCGCCGCGGCAAGTGCGACCAAAGACAGAGACACGATCGCTCGACGTTGAAGCGCCGCAGCAAGTGCGACCAAAGACAGAGACCAAGCTTTACGCCGTCGCGCATGGTCGTTGTGGCGTCTCGGGCGTGTACACGTCGTGGGCCGAGGCCGCTCGTCACGTCCAGGGTTTCCTCGGCGCCAAGTACAAGTCGTTTCTCACGCGCGCCGAGGCCGACGAGTACATCGCCACCCATCGCACGATCAAGGCCGGCGCGGTCGTCGTCGATTCGTCGTTGCCGGATCCCAAGAACCCGGCGACGCTTGTGGCCTTTTGCGACGGCAGTGCGATCGGCAACGGCCAGAGCGGGTGCAGAGCGGCGTTTGCATGTGTGTTCCCGCACCATGAGGAGTGGGCCGTCTCGGGCAAGCTGCCGCCCGGCGCCATTGCCACCAACAACCGCGCCGAGTACTTGGCAGCGCTCGAAGCCATGAAGCGCGCGAACGTGCAAGACCCGGCGCAGACGCGGCCGCTGTACATCTTCTCGGACAGTATGCTCCTGATCCAGTCGATGACCGAGTGGCTCGGTGGCTGGAAACGCAACAAGTGGGTCAAGGCCGACGGCGAGCCAGTCAAAAATGCCGATTTGCTCCAACTTCTCGATTCGACCCAAGGGGCGCGCTGCATTCTGTGGCGGCACGTCAAGGCGCACACGCACAAGAAGAATTGGGAGTCGGTTTGGAACGACAAGGTCGACAAGCTCGCGTGGTCCACGGCCATGAGCTAACTGTCGGCTTTGCATGTTGGCGAGGTTTAGGTTTACTAATGGACACTGTCGTTGTCGTGTCGTCCGAGTCCAATGATGCAAGGCCTCGGGTGCCAGATACGACGCACTTGGCTGATCGCCCCGTGCTAGCGTCATTGCACTGTCTTTAGAAGCGTACGACTGGCAGCAAGACGCGGTCGTTCAACCAGTGTACACGGTGTCGTTGTATTCATTATGCAGTCGCCGTCATCGTCTAGTCGCGCTTTTGGTTGGCCACCGGCACCGTAAAGACGGTGATACCGAGCGCCGTCTTGACTTCATAGATGACCGAGACCACGATGTGGATGTAGGCGACGAACGAGATGAAGAAGAATTCGTTGAGGAAGAGCGTTTCGGTTTCCTTCTGGACCGGGTAGATGCCTTGCCAGTGGCTAAAGCCCCAATGCGCTGCCACGTAGAAAATGGGCACCAGCGTCTTTCGGAACGGGTGGTACTCTTCGCCGCAGAGGTGCGCGAGCATCAAGTGCAGCTAATACAAACACAAACACGTCGCATGATGATAGGAGTGTCAGTATGACATACCACGAGTTTGCTGTTGAGGAGCCCGATCGTCCAGAGAAACATACGCGGGTGGATCGCCTTGATATTGGCCGGTGATAGAATCGCCCAGACGAGCGCAAGTCCGTTCAAAATCGCAAACGGCGTCAGACGCGTGAGCGCGATGAGGAACGAACCCTTCTGGGTATGCACGGTCTTGATGACGTTGATCAAGCTACGACAGTGGCGTCCTAACTCTGCAAAAAGATATCGCAAAAGTGTCGTACTTGGCGAGGACGGTAAACGTCGACGACACAATCATAACGCCGAGGAAGAGCGTGTTGTTGAGCACACCAGGCACGAGTGTGGATTCTTGGAGCCAGAACGACGGACCTACACCAAGTAACGTGTCGATCACGTCAATACGACGAGGCGTACCCACGACGGCTGTAAAGAGCTTGATGCCAATCGCAATCAAGACACCTTCGGTGGGCCCGTTCAAGATCGGAAGGTCGAGCGACCCGGTGTAGTACTCTTCCCACGTTGCCGCGATAAAGACCATGTTGACCCAGAGACCGAGGCACGTCGCCTTCCAGCCCGCACCAAACTGCACAACGCACGACATGGTCATGCTCCCGATCGTGCAGTTGATCGCGTCGCAGCCGTGGTCAAAGAGGAGACCAAGCGGCGACGACGTGCCGGTGCGGCGCGCTTGTTTCCCGTCCAAGTTGTCGAGCGTCTACATTGCATCATAAGACGTGCAACTCGAACAATGGTCGTCATACCTGGTAGGCAAAGAGTGCAAAGGCGGCGTAGACGTAGACCCATGGCGGGCACTCGCCCTCGAGCGACGGACAGTAGTAGAGGAAGAGCAGGTGCGAGCTAATGACCGCGAGCAGCCCGAGCAGCGTAATCTAGAAAGAGCATCGATAAGACGTTGATTCAGATGCAAGGTTTACGAGGTTGGGCGCGAGCCAGAGCGGGAGGTAGTCGAGGAGGTAGTTGTTCATCGGCGTCAGCACATGCTTGTAGATGAGCGAGTGGTCATTGCCCTTGTACGAGTAGAGCTTGAGGTTCTTCGAGCCTTCCTTCGAGACGTACTTGCCAAAGTACATGGACTTTTCATCGTTCATCGTCGGCGGGGACATCCTCGTCTTCTCGAAATGCTACCTTGCGTCAACATCGCCAGGGCTCGTCCGGATACGCCGCCATGACATCCAGCCCGCCAGTAACATCCGGACAGGTCCACTTCAAGGTGATAGGAAGGCCGAGCTTGTCAAGCGCTGCAATGCTGCAAGACTGCGGTGGCCGGTTGCATGGACGCGCCATTTCGTACGCGCGAAGCTTGTGGCGTGCGCACAAGCGCCGGGATCGGGATCGGCCGGGATTGGTTTGGGTGCGTTTAGCCATGCCTGGCCTTGGACGCGGTGCGGTGCCAACTCTAGTCGCCGAGAATGTGATATATAGTCGCTCGAGACAAAGTTGTACATCGTCCACCACACACAATTGTACGCTGCTGCAAGGTGCCTCCAAGGCTATCGGTGGCAGCTACTATGGCAGCTGCATCGTCCTTGTCGTACCCGATGGCGCTGAGAACGACCAACGTGCTGGCTCATGGTAGCATCATCTGGACCACACGTC